ACGGACGAATTGGACCGAAGGGTCTGTTTTCATGCTGTACAACTGTATGACTCTATTTAATTCAGATATTTTCCAGATATAGGACATTTGGCTGCAAACCACATCTACTGATTCTCCCTCATCTACTGTAAAAGTTACAAACTCAGAATTCTCCAGTAGGGTTAGTCAATCATGATTTCCCTTTCAAAATCCATGTTGACTTTGAGTAATCCTATTGGTATTTTCTAAATGTCCTGATATCACATCCTTTAAAATAAAGTTCAAATTTTCCCTACTCCTGATGTTATGCTGATCAGTCTGTAGTTCCCTGTTTCATCCCTCCCTTAAAATTTTATATGCAGGGGTTACTAGTGCCACCCTCAAATCAACCAGGACTGTTCAAGAATCTATAGGATTTTGCAAGATGTCAAACTGTCAATGCATCCACTATTTCCATGGCCATCCACTTTAATACCCTGGGATTACATTTTCTGACCTAGTGAATAGGCACAGGGTCAGAGGGATAACATATGTCTTACTTGGTCTTTCAGACAAAGATAATTTGCAACTGATGGCTACTACAGAGAGGAGAGAAAACTATTAACACACTCCTCCTCCTCTTCCCGTCTCCGCCACACACACACACAATTTTTTTTAAATTCTGTGAGGACTTACAGTCTTTGTATAGAAAGAAGATAATGCTTTTGTTTTCATTACCTCAATCCTAGTAAAATACATGTCAACAGTTCTATATTGGAAAATTTTCCATATCTCAGTTTGAAAAGACAGATAACTTTGTAACATTTTATGAGAAGTTACGAAGAACAATCTCTTTTTTCAAATAATGTTAGGAATTTTATTTTTCATAGAAACTCATTGAGCATTTCTTACTTTTCTTGCAGAAAAGCATTAGAACAGTTTTGCTTATACACAAATATCAATATTGAGAAAACTGACAATTGAAGAAAAACTTCAGCCACCTAACGTACAGAAATGTTATTAAAATATTTTGTAATACTACGAGAATATAACCTCTAGGTAAGCATCAGCTAATTAGTTACATGTTAAGTAATCCTTACACTTCTGTACAGTCCTACATCGGAATACTTCTGTGAAATGCTAGTGAAAGTGAGAACATTCCATACACGAAACCATTTATTACAGTGTATGTCACTAAGGAGAACCAATTTAACTTGGTAATTAAAATGTTTATATATCATTTACCAGAATTAAGTATTTACAATTCAATTAGTTTTGGTAGAAATCCAAGCATTAACTCCATTTATTTCAATATTTTTGCTCACATAGTTTCCTCCTATTGTCTTTTACTTCCCCTTATAATGATATCAGTGCTCAGGATTTAAACAGATTTTCCACAAGCTTCCCACAAAAAAGCAATACTGAGAATCAAGAATGTTCACATTTCAGTTCTTGACCATTTAAACTTAAAGGAATAGAAAGCAACTTTATCCAATATATTTTCATAATTTAACCAGTTAACTTATGGTGTAATTCTGATTCCTCTTACAATGCCAATATATTGTTGTTAAGCTTTGGTGTCCACTGTAGAATGTAGAAATCCTGCAAGCTGATGCATCACTTCCTTCCCAAAACCTATATTTTGTGGTGAAGATGAGCTAAAAGACCAGAATTCCAAATTTCCCAAAGGCAATATAAAGATATTGAATTACTTTGATAGAAACCCTCATGATGGCACCAGTGCTGAACAACACCATCCATGAAGCATAGCTTGTAAAATTAATGCGGCGGGACACACCACCTTTACAGATAGGTGCATGCATCACTTCAGGGACTTCTTGGTGCCTGTCTGCTGGTGAATGTCAAAATTCTTGAACTCATGGCAGAAACCAATTGCTTGGGATCCACTTATTGACCCCATACATGGTTCTTTTGAGGCCCTGAACAAGGAAATTAATCAGCAAATTGTTACAATAAGTCTGTTCTTTGGGTTGGGGTGGAGATGTGTGCAGTGCACAATGGGCTAGTAAACCTCCACTCATCTGGCAAAATAGTTTCCATTCTTACAGCAGGTCCAATATAGAGCTTGAGGAATGGGAGCACAAGTTTTATGCAATTTCTCCCGCCTGGCTACTATTAGACTTCTGTGAGTCAAGAAGAGGTTCAATGATTTCACTCCATCCAGGAAACTCAGAAGCGGTCAAATTCTAGTACAATTCTCATTCTCTATTTCAAGGCGTTCCATTGGTTTTTTCATTGAAATGATAACAAAAGACCAGCAGGATCCTATAAGAATTTAGGGGCCACTATCTTATTGTCTTGTATTTTGCCTCGGTTTCAGAAAACAGGAATCTTTTAACTTTTTTCACTATTCATTTTGAATTTAGGGATTTAACATGGACAAGTGACATTCTATTACCAATAATTTAGCACTAAGGTTTATAAGGAATTTTAAGATGTCTTTATAATGGAATTATGAGAGATGTATAATGATTGCCGCTCTTGCAACAATTGATGCCAATGTAGATGCTGATGTCCTCTGAGTTTCCTTTTCTTGTGGGCAACAAACTGATCTCTACCTAACCTGATCAGGAACTAATATATCAAAATGCAAACATGAATCCATGCTCAGTTGATTATTTATCCAAAATATGTAAGTTACTTTCAGTTATAAACAACTTAATAATTTAGTTGAAAATCAACTTTATAATATTCTTACACTCCATTATTTGATGTGCAAGTGGTCAAGCAGTGTGTGCCTGGGCCTCCACTTTGGAACTGATCAGTAAGAGGTTCAAGAGTATCTTTTGAACACACATGATCTTCAGCTGATTCTTCTCCATGCATAAACTTGATATTGACTTAGCTGTTTCTTCCATCCTTAGTACAAAACTGATACCAGTTGCAGGCACAAACATACACCTCAATAATCCATCGCACTAATATACAAAGCTGTTGTGCTTTTTGTTCTGTTTTCTCTACTTCTAACCTGGTTTATTTAGACAATAAGATACAGGAGCTGAATTAGGACATTCAGCCCGTTGAGCCTGATAAATACTAACGCAATATGTCACACAAAATAAAAAGATTTCTTGTGCTGGATGAAAACAAGCAGCTATTTACAATTTCTTGGTTTACATGGTTCAAAATGAGTTTAATGACCAGTTATTAAAATACAGTCATGGGTCTAAGGTTCTAACTTTTCAGGCACCCCTCATCGTAACTTATCTAAAGCAATAGAAGCATATATTGTAGGTCCTTGTGGCTGTGGCATATTGTTATTCTGCAGAACTGCTAAATCAAGTTGAGTGTATAAAACCTGATTGTTTTCATCCTGTTAATAACAAAAAAAAAAGTCAGAACTTTTACTGGTCTTTTCCATTTATACCTCTTCAGCATAAAGAATAAATTAAGATTTGACTCACATTATCATCTCTAAAGTAATGGTTGAAGAAGGAAACTGAGCTTATGGTGTGCAATAATGTGATGGTTTTGTAAGTACTTAATTGCAACCTGAGAAATTAACTGAGTCCGGTCCAGAAGCATAGGAGGTAAAAAGGTGTTTTCAGTTTTGTAAATGTTTTTGGAAATTTTAACTTGACTTGGCCTCAATGTCACAATAAGTTGAACAGCATGGCAATACATTTTGGATTGGTGGGACAGGCATAGGATAAAGCTGTGTGTCATGTTTTGATTTGATTTATTATTGTCACATGTACTTAGGTACAGTGAAAAGTTTTGTTTTTCGTGCATAGAGGCAGATCATACCATACAAACTCCATAGCATGATAGAACAGGGCAAGGAATACAATGTTACAGCTACAGAGAAGAAGCACACAAAGCAAGGTCAACATTAGTTCTGAAATTTGAAAAGTCCATTTAGAAGTCTAATAACAGCAGGGAATAAGCTGTTGGAAGGCACAGAATAAATATTTGGAGCACGAAGTTAGGCATTTTGAAGGAAGGTGAGTTGGACCCCTTCAGACCCAGTTAAAATCAATCTAATTTTCATCCTGTATTTTCCTTCTCCACACTATTACTTGTGTTTATTAGAATCAATGTTGATTTGTAAGAGAATGCAGCAGCCAACTTGTATACAAAGTTAAGTAATGATCTGAAATTCAGGTGAAATTGTGAGGGTAGAAGAAGCACTCGTGTTCAATATAATGTAAGGCAATTTACTATAACTGATGTCTGGAAATGTTTCACATATTATGGTTGGTTGGCTTGCTGAGCTGGTTCGTTGTTCCGCAGATGTTTCATTACCCTGCTGGGTAACATCATCAGTGCAGCCTCCGATGAAGCGCCGTTGTGTTTTCCCGCCTGGTATTTAAACTCTGGAGTCCGCTGAGCTGGATTACCTCACTTCCGGATTTCCTTCACAGTGGAGTGTGTATGGGGTTGAGTTCTATGTGTTTGTTGATGGCTTTCTTTGTGCAGTACCAGGCTTCTAGGAACGGGAGCGAAGGAAAACTGGAAGTGAGGTAATCCAGCTCAACGGACCCCAGAGTTTAAATACCAGGCGGGAAAACACAACAGCGCTTCATCGGAGGCTGCACTGATGATGTTACCCAGCAGGGTAATGAAAGGTCTGCGGAACAGCGAACCAGCTCAGCGAGCCTACCAACCACAACATCCACAACCCGAGCTACAAATCTACTCTAATGTTTCACATAGTTAGCAACTCACGAAATAAATTTTGGTAAGGTAATGGAAGTGAAACCTGGTATAATTTAAGATGCTGCTTGGCCTGCTGTGTTCATCCAGCCCTGCACCTTGTTGTCTCGGATTCTCCAGCATCTGCAGTTCCTACTATCTCTGATATAATTTAAGAAACTGTTTGACGCTGGGTGGGGGATGTAATTGGTTCTTGTCAAATGGATCAACTAAAATAAGGAATTATCCAAATCTGCATGATTTTATAAGCCTGGAAAATGTCATCCTCTAATGATATAATTTATATGAATTGTAAATTGATTGGATTATGTTCAATACTGGTTATGTTACATAGAGTAATTTATCAATGATAAAGATTTACTTACACAGGAGGAATCGCTGTCAGCACTGGCAGCTGCAAGAACAGAATTAAATTACTATAATTAAGTGCAAGTTAATTGTAACTTAAACAAAGTGAACACCTAGCTCTTCCTTGATTTAACTCTCCTTTTCTGAACCATTTTCTTTGCCTTGGTATTTTTCCATTTGTCATACAGTATTTTCTGTCTCTCTCTTGCAGTCATAAACGTTCCCTTGTTATAGTATTTATTTGTTCTGGTTCACTTGCTTAGTGTGTTTTACTGTTTCTTGGTTTTGGAAAAAGGAAACTTGAAAGCAGAATAAATAGACAATGTAGCAGATCAAAGGCTGAAACCGAAGGGACACGAAAGCAAGCTATTTCTGCCGGTCTCTGGGAATTACTAATATCTAAGTCAGTGGCACAGCATGTTGTCTTATCCAGACCAGTCAACAAGTTCAAGTTATTTACTCCACTTTTGTTTGAGATCTATATAAACGATTTGGATGAGAATATAGCAGGCATGGTTCATAAGTTTGTGGATGACACCAAAATTTGTGGTATAGTGCACAGTGAAGAAGGTTATCTAAGATTATCAAGGTTATCAAAGAGATCTTGATCAGTTGGGTCAATGGGCTGAGGAGTCGCAAGATGGACCTTAACTTGGATAAATGCGAGATATTGTATTTTGGTAAAACAAACAAGGGCAGTACTTATACAATTAATGGTAGGTCCCTGGTAGTGGGACCTCTGGGTTCAGGTACAAAATTCTTTGAAATTTGCGTCACAGGTAGACAGGGTGTTTAAGAAGGTGTTTAGCATGCTCGCCTTCATTTCTCAGATCTTTGAGGATAGCAGCTGGGTCCTCATGTTGAGGTTGTACAGGACGTTGGTGAGTACTGTGTGCTGTTCTGGTCACCCTGCTACAGGAAGGATATTATTAAGCTGGAGAGGGTTCAGAAAGGACTTACCAGGATGTTGCTGGGACTGGCGGGTTTGAGTTATGGGGAGAGGCTGGATAGCCTGTCAATTTTTTCACTGGAGTGTAGGACGTGAAGGGGTGACTTTATAAAATCATGAGGGGCATAGATAAGGTGAATAGCAAAGCTCTTTTCCTTAGGATGGGGGAAGTCAAAACTAGGGGGCATATTGTTAAGGTAAGAGGAGAAAGTTTTGAAAAGGAATTTTTTTTTTACAGAGAGTGGTTTGTGTGTAGTATGAACTGCCAGAGGGAGTGATGGATGCAGGTATAGTTATAACATTTAAAAGACATTTAGATAAGTACATGAATTGGAAAGGTTTGCAAGGATATGGGCCAAACACAGGCAGTGGGGCTAGTTTAGGTGAGAAAAAGGACATGATGGGCAACGTTTTTACACACAGAGTGGTTCATGTGTGGAATGAACTGCCAGAGGAAGTGGTGGATGCAGGTACAGTTATATTTAAAAGACATTTGGATAAGCACCTAAATTGGAAACGTTTGGAGGGTTATGGGCCAAACACAGGCAAATGGGACCAGCCTAGTTTGGGAACATGGACCGAAGGGTCTGTTTCCATACAGAATGACTCTATTACTCTATGGCCTTAAAAATTACTTTAGATGTTTGACAACTTTGATTTAGTTTGAAATCTACTTCAATATTAAGCATGCTTTTATGCTTATAATGCCTTGTCATTTCCTTAGCATTTAACATTTTCTGAAGCACATAACATCTATTAAATCACTCTTTTGAAGTATGAGCTTTACTATATTTTTGTTAGTTTTTTTCAGAAAAAAAAATCAAGTTAATATTGAGCAAGCTGCTACTACTGCTCAAGTAAAAATAAATAAAACTTGCAAGTGACTATTATTGGTCTGTACTGGCTTTGTATACCTGACAGTGGAACTCAAATTCAGTCCAATACCAGTCACTTTCAACTTTCATTTCTGTTTCCTTCCAATGTCAGGGCCAGAAAAACAACTGAGTTCTATAGCACTGAAAGTGGAATAATAAGTAATAATATAATCCAAAATTTAAAGACACCAGGGTCCATATTTGGGAAGTCAAGTCTGACTTGCTGTTGGGAAAACCCATATGTCTGCTTTAAATTTGCGCTTCCACTCTGCCAGTGTTTCCGTAACTTACTAACATATCAATACTGAGGCTGGGAAGGTGGCGTAGATTCTAACCTAAACCCTAAGAGAGATCAAAGGAAGACCCACTGTGAGGGCCTTGAGTGAGATTAATTTGCACAACAATGGGGAGATACTTAAATTGAGGCCCACTTGAAAATTATGACAGGTTTCTGTTTGCATTTTTGTCTCATTACTCCCCTGTTCATGTTTAAAAACATGGCAACATTGAGTTGAATGTCACCCCCTTGATCTTATGGTCTTTAGATTCCACTTGTATACATTTCTCTTTGGTGCTCATTAATGTATAAGGTAGAATTTTCCCAAACCTGGATGTAGCGAAGCAGGCAAATGATCACTAGAGTGGCACTAGTAGGATACCTGCCCTTTTTTTTAAACACCTTAGCAGTCAAAATAATTTTCATTCATGGGCATTCTTCCTGATCCACCACCAATTAAGGCCCTTATGTGGTAAATTAATTGCTCCAATTGCCATGGTTCCTAGGCACGGAGGGAGCGCAGGAGGGTGGCTGCGGAAAGCCACCCAGTACTTGCCTTTGAACCCCTGATCTCTTCTCCATACCAACCCCCAGCCATGATCATCGGTGCAACTGTTTACCATTGTGTAACCTGGGCGTCTAGTGAAATTCTCCAGTTTCCAGTAGTTATCAGTATCTGATGAGCCAGCAGTTTGAGAGAAGGTAAGACTTCAGTGACGAGTCACCTGATTGGCCCACCAGACGGAAATGAAGTGCCTGATTGGCACTTAATGCAGCAGGGTTTCTCGCTGGTTAGGGCCAGGGGTGGTTCATCAACTCTGAAGATGTCCACCCCCATACTTAAGGCAAACTGCACCAAATCCAGCCGTTAGCAGCAGTTTGTTCAATTGGAACAATTTCAGATGATTAACTGGTTGGACTCACATGGGAATCACTGATTCAATTATTGGTTAATCAGCAAAGCTGTAGAATCATAGAATCCCTACAGTGTGGAAACAGGCCCTTCAGCCCAACCAGTCCACACTGAACCTCAAAGCATCCCACCTAGACCTACCCAGCTATAACCCACCTAATCTACACATCCCTGAACAATACGGGCAATTTGGCATGGCCATTCCACCTCGACTGCAAATCTTTGGACTGTGGGAGGAAACTGAAGAACCCGGAGGAAACCCACGCAGACACGGGGAGAAAGTGCAAACTCCACACAGACAGTCGCCCGAGGGTGGAATTGAACCTGGGTCCCTGGCGCTGTGAGACAGCAGGGCTAACCACAGCCACCATGCCACCCCTTGGATAGCTTGGATAGAATGGTTTCAGGATATCCAGGTTTACAATATGAATTACCTCAGCATATTTTTAAAACCGAAATAGGAGACATTTCAAACTTCCTGATAGTTTTATAATGTCAATAATTGTAATTATATAAACATTTCAATATAATGTACAGTGATGTAATTCCTACTTCAAGAAGAGCAAAATTCAAATAAGTAGTCTTTTCCCTTAAGAAAAGATTTTACTATAAAATCAAGCAAGAAAAACACAAGGTAATGTGACTCCAAATACATCAGAAAACTGTAGCAGTTAGTAACACAGGAAAACTTGTTCTCCCTTACAAGATGTATGTTTTATTTATGAGTAATTTTTTAAAAAATGGCTTACAACTTTTTCTTTTCGATATCACATTGGTGTAATCTGCTTCGCAATCACTTTCAGGATCATCTTCTGTAACTATATAACATAGAATAAGAAGTGTTTAAAGTTATTTCAGATCTCTTCCAAATCTTACTTGGCCTCAGTATCTCACATACCCCTCATAAACAGATCATATGTTCCTCACAATTACAAATTTCCATTACCCTCTAAACAACAGTCATCTAATTTTCGTAAACTAGAAAAAAGCAAACATATCATTCAGTCCCCTTTAGCATTCCTTTCTCTTAATCCAACTTGTTCTTTTTCTTTCATTTCCTTACCAAAAGATCATTAAAAAAGTAGTAGCAGGATTTGGTATTTGTATCTAAAAGAGTTGGGAGATGAATATTAAATACATTACCGAGCAGGTAAAAAGGTGTTGCATATTGATTTTAGTTGCTTGTGGTGTGGTGGCAGTGTCCCCACCCCAGAGCCAGAAGCCCAGGTTCAAGTCCCACCTGCCTCAGAGGTGTGTCATATCATGTCTGAACAGGTTGAATAAAAATATTCATCCCTGATAGCAACAAATAGCTTGAGATACTCAAACTGGGCACAGGTTGATCTCTCACTTTGTCAGTTCGATATTACTTCACTATTGTTTCCAATCAGTTATAGATTCTTTAGGGATATTGTTGTCTATCTCTCTCACTGCACAAAAATACTCACCTCAGGGGAGTAGACTGTACTTGGCATGAGACAGTGATTTTTATGAAGAATAAATTTAAATGTAAATGATCGCTCATTATGAAACAGTATCAGCAAATTAATTTGCAGATGACACTAAGATGAGTGGTAGAGCAAAGTGTGCAAAGACACAAAGTCTGTAGAGGGATATAGATAGTCTAAGTGAGTGGGCAAAGGTCTGGCAGATGGAGTACAATGTTGATAAGTGTGAGGTCATCCATTTTGGTAGGAATAACAGCAAAATGGACTATGTTTCAAATGATAAAAAATTGCAGCACGCTGCTGTACAGAGAGACTTGGGTGTCCTTGTGCATGAATCGCTAAAAGTAGGATTGCAGGTGCAGCAGGTAATTAAAAAGGCAAATGGAATTTTGTCTGTCATTGTTAGAGGGATGGAGTTTAAAAACAGGGAGGCTATGCTGCAGCTGTATAGGGTCCTGGTGAGGCCACACCTGGAGTACTGTGTGCAGTTTTGGTCTCCTTACTTGAGAAGGGATGTACCAGCACTGGAGAGGGTGCAGAGGAGATTCACTCGGTTGATTCCAGAGTTGAGAGGATTGGATTATGAGGAGAGACTGAGTAGGCTGGGATTATACTCATTGGAATTCAGAAGAATGAGGGGAGATCTTATGGAAACATATAAGATTATGAAGGGAATAGATAAGGTGGAGGCAGGGAGGTTGTTTCCACTAACAGGACTAGGGGGCATAGTCTCAAAATAAAGGGAAATAGATGTAGGACTGAGGTCAGGAGGAACTTTTTCACCCAAAGGGTTGTGAATCTGTGGAATTCCCTGCCCAATGAAGCAGTTGAAGACACCTCGCTGAATGTTTTTAAGGCAAGGCTAGATAAATTTTTGAACAGTAAAGGAATTAAAGATTATGGTGAGCGGGCAGGTAAGTGGAGCTGAGTCTCAAAAAGATCAGCCATGATCTTATTAAATGGCGGGGCAGGCTCGAGGGGCCGGATGGCCTACTCCTGCTTCTAGTTCTTATGTTCTTATGTAAATTAAGGAAAAATATTGCATTGATTATATAACCCTGAATTTTCCCTGAGACCTGCTTTTGGGAAGAAGTTGGAAATGTGGCTAGCCACTGATACTGATATTCAATTTTTGGAATGAGAGGAGGAGGCATAAAGTGATGGAATAGGGGAAACCAGATGCAAGAAAATTGGCTGTCTATTATGTAACTCGTCGATTTTCTTTTGACAACCAGTTAGTGACTCCAGAGTAAGGGGGGATATTAATCATAAAATTAGGAAGGACCTTTTCACATAAAGAATGGGCAATTCACAGAACTAGAATTCTATAGATCAAGGTTAATAGTCTGGAGACCAAGAATTTAAATCTCCCACACCCCAAAAAAAACTGATGAAATTTAAATCCAATCAACAATCTAGAATTGCAAAATTAATCTCAGCAGTGGTGACTATGAAACTATGATTGTTGTAAAACCCATCTGGTGCACCAAAGTCCTTTACAGAAGGATATCCTAATGTAGTTTGGCATACATCTGACTACAGACCCGCATTAATGTGGTTGATTCATATGTACCTGCTGAAGTGGCCTAGCAAGCCACTTATTTCAAGGGCAACAAATACTGTTCTTGACTGTGACGTTCACCATTGCGTGAAAAGTCTGAGGTCAATTTCCCTAAGCGTGCAAAATTGGAGGCAGGCCTGGAATTTGCATGAGCCAAGTCCAGAGATAACAAAGGGATGGGTGAGGTTTACAACAGCAGATGAGCTGAGATGAAGTGGAGGCATGTGAGTTAGGAAATGGTTTTGGTGTGGAAGAGGATATGTGGATGGAAGCTTAGCTCAAGGTAATACAGCAATGAACAGAATATCAGAATTGTTATGGTGCAGTAGGAGACCAATTAGCCCATCATGTATGTCCCAGCTGTCCAAATAAGTGTTATGTCTTAGAGCCATGTTCCTGCCTTTTCCCCATAACATTGCACATTGTTTCTATTCAAATCATCATCTAATGTCCTCTTGATGTCCAGTCCTTATACTGAAGGAAGTGAGAGTGAAATTTGTGGATGGACTGGCCATAACTTTCAGTCTTAGACTCAGGTGGAGCCACAGCACTGGAGAATTGTAAACAAAGGATAAGTCCAGCAATTACAGACCAGCCAGTTTAACTTTGATGGCGCAACCTCCGGAAACAATAATTCAGGATGGAATTTATAGTTGTGTGAATAAATGTTGGTTAATTAAGAAGATTCAGCATGGGTATCTTAAGGAACATTGTGTTTAATTAGGTTGCTGGATGTTTGAACAGACTGCAGAGGATGAAGAAGACAATTCTGTTGATATGATGTACATGGACTCTCAAAAGGCAAAAGGATTGGCCATGCTAAATTGCCCACAGTGTCTAGGGATGTGCAGGTTAGGTGGACTAGCCATGGTAAATGCAAGGTTACAGGGATAGGGTAGGGGCTGGGATGCTTTTCATTGATGGGCTGAATGGCCTGCTTCCACACTGTAGGGATTCTATGATTTGATCCCGATTCATTGTCAACTTGCATTACTAAAAGCTTATCCAATAGCCCCTCCTCATCAATTTTGAGTGGCTGAGTATGCTTCTTGGTCATCATGGCATCAATAGCATCAGCTCCCTTAGTAAAGGCAGATGCAAAGTAATCATTATGATGCTACAATTACCTTGTATTTCAGGTTAGAGATGCAAAATATCAGTCTTACATATTTGACCAGAAACATTCAGTCTGAATTGTATTGAATTTTTTTCCCAGTTGTTGGATCGGCTGTAAAATTATTACAATGTTACAATTGCTGAAGTTGTCACAAAACAATCCAGACTGAATGAAGGTACATTTGGCAATAACTGGGATAGGATAGTTTTACTATACCGCAAATATACAATATATACAACACAAATAAGAGACACTGGAGATGCATTTGACATTATATTACCATTTCTTTCGTATGACATGATGTTTGTATAGTCCCCCTCATGATTTCTGTCTGAATCAGTTTCTGCAAATATATAAATTACAATTAGAAATATACTGATATATAGACTGCTTTTAATATAGTCATTTAACCGTTAAATGATGCTAAATCATCACTGTTATTACCATTTCTATTGTGGATCATATTGAGCGTTAAAAATATAAAAGTTTGGTTTCCGTTATGGTGGATTCATGGTAATTGTATTTCAGTATTTTCTATTCCTGTATTTGCTTACAATTAGTGCTTGAACTTTTGAACCAGTCACAAGGGACAAAAAGAAGAAGAAACTCTATAGGGTACTATGGAGGTAATTACTGAGAGGGGCACTATGCTTTAAACAAAAATTGGTGAACTTTGGTTTTAAAAATATAAGCTGGAAGAAAGCTGACCCAGAAGTTGCAGACATCCTGCCTGCTATGTCTTACTGCATAATTCGGTTCTGTATATTTGGAGAGGTGAATAATGAGTTCTAGAGAATTACGTACGGCCAAATATCTCTGCAAAGATAGGTCCAAGTCTGGGATAGATGCTAAGGGAATGTCTACATGGTATATGACTGTCAGTGATGCCTATCCTTGGATGAGGATATTTTACTGATTGGGGTATACCACAGACCTGAACTGTGACCAGTGCAACCGGACCAGAGTATGAGTATGTTTAAAAGCCTAACTGAGTGAAGTCAACGGCGAAAGATTAAGACTGGTTAGGACTGTTGGATTGAGCTTAAGCAGATCCTCATTTGTTTCGAATTATTACCTTACTTGTTCAGTGTACCTATCTAAATATCACTGCATGTGTTCTTTTGTTCAGGCTTGTATTGTAAAGGTTCTTTGGTTCTTCCATGCATTATGTTCTTTAAAGGATTATGGCCTACCACGCCAGATTCTAACAAATATCTCCCCTGTCTTCTTGTATCTACGTGAATAACTTTGATAATTGCAGAATACAGCCATTTTGCATGGTGGGCTTGGGGTAATGTTCTTAGAAGATTCTGTGTGAGTCTGTTGCACACATCATCCAGATATGGTCATTTTATTTATTTCTCATAAAATCAGGTTTCCAACTCTTGCATTGCTCTGTACATCAAGCATAACAGAAATAAATAAGGCAGGGGCAACAAGGTGGCTCAGTTGTTAGCACTGCTGCCTCATGGTGCCAGGGACCCGGGTTCAATTCCACTCTCGGGCAACTGCCTGTGTGGAGTTTGCACAATCTCCCTGTGCCTGCGTGGGTTTACTCCGGGTGCTCCGGTTTCCTCCCACAGTCCAAAGATGTGTAGGCTAGGTGGATTGGCCATACTAAATTGCCAATAGTGTTCAGGGATGTGTAGATTAGGTGAGCTACAGGGGGAAGGGTCTGGGTGGGATGCTCTGAGGGTCAGTGTGGACTTGTTGGGCTCAAGGGCCTGTTCCCACACTGTATGGATTCTATGATTCCAGGAACTGACTTTGAAAGTGCCTATACACAATAGCACTTAGACTCAAGCCTACAAAGTATATTTTTATACTATGCCTTGTCCTTCTGATGAAATGTCATGCATATGAACTGTAGTAGGCCACTGAACCCCTCAAGCTTGTTCCACCATTCAATTAGATCATGGTTGATCTGAGGTCTAACTCCATGTACCTGCCCTTGGTCCATATCCTTTAATATCTTTGCTTAATTAAAATTTATCTATCTCAGATTTAAAATTAACAACTGGTTGAGTGTCAACTGCTATTCGTGGAAGACTGTTCCAAACATCTACCACACTTTGTGTGTAGAAGTGCAAGCTAACAGCTCTTCTGAACAGTCCGACCCTAATTTTTCGACTATGTCCACTAGTTCTAGAATCTCAAACCAGTGGATATAGTTTATCATTATCTATCCTGTCTTTTCCTGTTAATGTCTTGAAGACTTTGATTAGATCAACACTTAAACTTATAAATTTTGGAGAAAACAGGTCTAATGTTATAATCTCTCCTCATTACTTAACCCCCGAAATCCAGGTATTATTCTTGTAAACCTACAAGGTGTGGGGCCCAGATCTGCGCAAGTATGCAAAGTAGGTGCAACTGGTTTTTTGAACAGCTGCAACATAACTTCTATATCCTCTACTCCAGCCCTCTAGATATAAATGGCCAGCATGCAATTAACCTTCTTGATTATTTTCTGCGACAACAAGGTGCAGGGCTGGATGAACACAGCAGGCCAAGCAGCATCATAGGAGCAGAGAGGCTGATGTTTCGGGCCTAGACCCTTCATCAGAAGGCCCGAAACGTCAGCCTCTCTGCTCCTATGATGCTGCTTGGCCTGCTGTGTTCATCCAGCCCTGCACCTTGTTGTCTCGGATTCTCCAGCATCTGCAGTTCCTACTATCTCTGATTATTTTCTGCACTTGTTTGTAAGATTTTAAAGATCTATGCACCTGAATTCCCCCCAGCCCCACCCTTCAGTCTCTTTGGACATCCACTTAATACCATCTACAAAGTAACCTAATCTATTCTTTCTCGGTTCAAAATGGGTAAACTAACAATATGCTTATGTTGAAATCCATCTGCCACAGTTTTGCCCATTCACCTACTCTATCAGTATCCTTTGTAATTTTATGCCATCATCTTCATTGTTTACAATGCTGCCTGACTTTACCTCATCATCAAATTTGGATATTTGACTTTCTATGCCATTATCCAAGTCGTTAATAAATAATGTGAATAATTGAGACCCTAACACAGATCCTTGCAGGACATCATTGGTCACATCATGCCAATTTGAATACCTAACCATAATTCCTACTTTCTGTCACCAGCTATGCAACTAATTCTCCAACTACCTGAGTAATTTGCCCTCAATTCTGTGGCATTCAGAGAAATGTATCTGCAAAGACAAAGCAGCTGGTTTTATCATGTTGCTTAGCACATCTCATGATAGCTCGAGCTGGTAACTGAGTAGGTTAACAGAGTTGGAGCAATGCAATTGCATGACTAGTTTATTGGTAAATACAGAAGGAATATTCAGTGCCTTTCATATAGTTCAATTCCAATGCACCCTGACTGTACACTGTGACTCTCTAATTTTGATTTATGTTATTATTTTCCTGGAGAAACAAACAAAATCGTCAATGAGCTGGAAAGAACTTTAGATTTCTGGGAGTGGAAATTGCCATTTCTTTCTGTCACATTTGTACAGGCCATCCTGAAAATTAACACTGATTTTTTTGACAAATGTACCTGCAGTTTTTTTAAGGCTGTAAAATTTTGCCTGTCGAATGTAACTGTTCAGATTTGAATACTAAATGTTAAGTTGAAATAGAAATATTTTACGAATGTCAGGCAGTCCTTTTGTTTATTCACAGTTAACCTAAGTGTTAAGGTAAACACTTTCTATAATTTCTGAAGGTCTTAACTGTAAAACGTGATCCATTTACCTTGCTGTTCTATCAGCATGTCAGAATCTGGTTGGTTGAGCTCTGTAAATGTAGAATTTCAGTCAATGCTATTAAAGGAACATTGAAACTCAGTTCACAATAGTTGAAGGTCAATACTAAATACTACTTCTTTAATATCCAAGTTCCTTTCTGATTTCAGGAGATTCCACAATATTGGGATTTAGTTCAATGCAGAAAAACCTGATGTAGAATTTTAAGTTAAGAACAATTTTAAGTTAAGAGCAATGAAGCAACTATGCTCTTAATGGAAGACTGTTAATAGAATTGAGGACAAAGTTAGAAGTCACAAGACACCAGGTTATTGTACATCTGGTTTATTTGAAATCACAAGATAGTGATTTTAAATAAACCTGTTGGACTATAATCTAGTGTCGTGTGACTCCTGACTTTGTCCACACCAGTCCAACACCAGCACCTCCACATCATAGAATTGAGGGGCACAGAAATGCAGAGCTTCAGGTAGATACACAAGTCTTTAAAGGTGGAATTGTAGGTAGAAAAGACAATAAACTTTATATTTGACCAACGTAGTTTATGAAGATTGCTATGATGAGTGCACATGACTTGATTTGGAATAGGATATGGGCAGCAGACATGTGGATGAGCTAACATCCATGGATAGCAAAGGTGGGATGCAGATCACGACAGCTTAAAGAAAATCACGTGTGAAGGTGACATAAATGCGGAATTAGCAGATGGACTGAGCTGCATATGGTATTGAATGATACCTCAAAAGTTGAAACAAATCAATGCGATAGAGAGGACTGGGGAGTCTGAAGTTGCTTTGGATTAATTAAGATACTTTGGATGAGTATGAATACTCAACCATGTCCCAAATTGGAATTGACATATGTGGGGTGAACAGATGTCCAACCCTCTTAAACATAATTTCGTAAATGGTGCAGCTACATCTTCAACCTCGTTTTTCACCAACTGTTTCTTGAATACCTATCCATATTACTTTGAAAAGATTGTGCAAATTCTAAAGAATGCTTTTTTTCAAATCTTAGGCTACTTACATGTTTGGTGGTCATTTGAAACCTGTTACCCCAAATATACAGCACTTCAGAACAAAAATAAATTGAATGTGAATGGGAAAAATTCAGAAAAAAGTAATCTGTTTGCAGTATGGGGAGATAGTGGTAAAGTCATTGAACTAACAATCCAAAAGTCCAAGCCAAATCCAACCAAGGCCACTGATGAAATTTAAATACACTGATAAAAATCTGGAAATGCAAGTTGTCTCATGGACACCATTGCTATCAGCAATTGTAAAAGCCTACCTGGTTAACTAATGTAATTTAGGGAAGGAAATCTGCTATCCCTATTGTACATAGGACTACAGCAATGTGGTTGACTCTTAACTATTCTGAAATGTCCTAGCAAGCCACTCGGGTCAAGGGTAATAAATACTGGCCTTGCCAATGGAATCCACATCCAATGAAAGAATACTTAAAAACAGCTGTGTGATAATGTTATATTTCATAGGCTTGAATTGGTTGTGCATGGAGATCATTAGGCTGCTGCAAATTGTATCCAGTCTGAACTGCAGGCATTGTAACATTCTACAACATTCTGTTCACTTTTTAAAATTTATGTTTATACATTTAGATCAGCAAATAAATATAAATTATGAACTCATTATTCTGTCCATGACCGAATCAGTAACAGTGATAACTGCACAATCCTTGTGGAGACAAAGTCCCACCTTCACGTTCAGAATACAGGTAGTTCTGCTATAACGCGTGTTTCATTAACACAAATTGGCTGTAACACGATTGATGAATAGTGGACGCTGTTTGGATAACGTGAATTTTCTGCTGTAAGGTATAGTGATTTTCTATTGCAATTTCCCTATAATACGATTTTCTATGGTGATTTTCGATAGTGTGATTTTCTATAGCGCGATGTCACGCAAGAACACAATTATCGCATTGTAGGAGAACTACCTGTACCTTCCATCATATTGTGTGGTACTATCACTGTGCTAAATGGGACAAACTTTGAACAGATCTAGTAACTCTTGACTGGGCGCCCATGAGGCGCTGTGGGCCATCAACTGCAGCAAAATTGTACTCCGGCACAATCTGTAACCTCATGACCCACCATATCGCTCACTCTACCATTACCATCAAGCCAGAAGATCAATCCCATCTCATTGAACAGTGCAGGAGAGCATGCCAGGAGCAACACCAGGCATACCTAAAAATAAGGAATCAACCTGGTGAAGCTTCCAAACAGGATTATTTGCACGCCAAGCAGCATAAGCATAACAGCTAAGCGATCCTGCAACCAACGGATCAGACCTAAACTTTGCAGTCCTGCCACATCCAGTCCTAGGGTTGTGGACAATTACACAATTGTCTGGAAGACAAGGCTCCACAAATATGCCCAGCCTTAATGATGGAAAAGCCTAGCACATTAGTGCAAAAGACAAGTCTGAAGCATTCGCATCAAAATTCAGCAAGAAGTGCCAAGTGGATGATCCATCTCGGCCTCCTCTAGCGGGCCCCAGCATCACAGAGACCTGACTTCAGCCAATTTGATTCACTCCACATGATATCAAGAAATGGTTGGAGACACTGGATACTGCAAAGGCTATGAGTCCTGACAACATTCTGCAATAGTACTGAAGACTTCTACAGATTTTGGCACTCCCCTAGCTAAGCTTTTCCAGCACAGTTACAACACTGGCATCTACCCAAAATGCGAAAAATTGTCCAGGCATGTCCTGTACACAAAAGTCAGGACAAATCCAACCCGGCCAATTACTGCCCCATCTGTCTACTCTTGATCATTGGTAAAGTGATGGAAGGTGTCATCAACAGTGTTATCAAGCAGTGCCTGCTCAGCAATAACCTGCTCAGTGACGCCCAGTTTGGGTTCCGTGAGGGCCACTCAGCTCCTGACCTCATTGCAGTGTTAGTTGAAACATGGACCAAACAGCTGAATTCCAGAGGTGATGTGAGAGTGACAGCCTTTTTGACATCAAGGCCATATTTGACCGAGTGTGGTAACAAGGAGCCCTGGCAAAACTGGAATCAATGGGTATGAGGGGGCAAATTCTCCGGTGGTTGGAGTTATACCTTACACATAGGAAGATGGCGGTGCTTGTTTGAGGTCAGTCATCTCAGCTCCAGGACATCTCTGCAGGAGTTCCTCAGGCTAATGTCCTAGGCCCAACCATCTTCAGATGCTTCGTTAACAATCTTCCCGCCATCATAATGTCAGAAGTGGGGATGTTCGCTATTGAATGCACAGTGTTCAGCACTATTTGCAACTCCTCAGATACTGAAGCAGTCTGTGTTCAAATACAACAAGATCTGGACAATATCCAGGCTCGGGCTGACAAGTGGTAAGTAACATTCACACCACACAAATGCCAGGCTATGACCATCACCAATAAGAGACAATCTAACCACTGCCCCTTGACATTCAATGGTGTTACCATCACTGAATCCCGCACTATCAACATCTTGGGGGTTACCATTGACCAGAAACTCAACTGGACTCACCACATAATTACAGTGGCTACAAGAGCCAGTCAGAGGCTAGGAATACTGCAACAAGTAACTTACCTCCTGACTCCTCAAAGCCTGTCCACCATCTATAAGGCACAAGTCAGGAGTGTGATGGAATACTCCCCACTTGCCTGGATGGGTACAGCTCCAACAACACTCAAGACGTCTGATACCATCCAGGAAAAAGCAGCCCCCTTGATTGGCACTACATTCCCAAGCATCCACTCTCTCTACCACTGATGCTCAGTAGCAGCAGTGTGTACTGAAATGCACTGCAGCAATTCACCAAAGATCCAGAGACAGCACCTACCAAACTCACAAGCACTTTCAACTGGAAAGATAAGGGCAGCAGATACATGGGTACACCATCACCAGCAAGTTCCCCTCCAAGCCACTCACCATCCTGACTTGGAAATATATTGTATTCCTTCACTGACATTGGGTCAAAATCCTGGAATTGTCTCCCTATGGCATGTGGGTCAACCTACAGCACATGCACTGCAGCAGTTCAAAAAGGTGACTCAACATCACCTCCTCAAGAGCAACTAGGATGAGGCAATAAATGCTGGCCAGCCAGTAATGCCCACATCCCACGAGTGAATTTACAATAAACCGGTTCTAAGCATTTATTTCCTTCACTATGTTTAAAAATGGTCATTTAACACATTTTATATTTACTTGGCAGCAAAAACTGATTTTACAAAATCTACTTTTGCAAGCAAGTTATGAACTGTTTGTTGTGTTCTTACTTCGGTGTGTAAAGTTTCCAATTTTGCTATAAATGACCTCCTTCGTCTTTTTCAGAGATCCTGGAAATAAGATGCAAATGTTTTAGGGTTCTTGCAAAGGAAAGTTTACTGTACAATAAGATCTCTGACTGTCCTTTCCACACGGAGATTATAAAATTACTTTGTTGACAATATTCAATGGATTTTTAATTTTTTTTCTTCTTGTGCAGTCCAGTTACATTTATGTTTCTTGGTATCATATTCTTGTGTGCACATCTTGAATGACCAACATGTTCAAAAATGAATTGTTCTGTATCATAGAAAATGAAGATGCAGGCCGTGCTCATGGAGTTTCATACTGATTTCCTTGTCAATTACACACAGTCTTTGCATCTTCACAGAGAGGCTATGTTATAGGCCAAGAAGGTGAAATATTCAAAGAACCTGGGCATCTTTTTGTAGCTTTTTATACATTTTTTAGTGATATATCATTCACATATATGTAGATAAAGCACTGTGCTGGGAATCAGCTATGGGCAAAAATTATTGTGTCCCCTTTTATTTAATGTTTGCTTTTTCTCTGCTATCACCTAAGTCATACAGTCATATGGCAAGGAAACAAACCCGTTAGTCCAACCAGTCTATGCCAACCATAATCCCAGACTAAACTAGTCCCACCTGCCTGCACTTGGTCCATGTCCCTCCATTTCTTATTCATGCACTTATTTAAATGTGTTTTAAACACTGTAACTGTACCTGCATCCACCACTTCCTCTGCAAATTCATTCCACATACAAACCACACTGTAAAAAAAAAACTGCCCCGTAATGTCTTCTGAAAATCTTTCTCCTCCCATTCTAAAATTATGTCCCCTAGTCTTGAAACCCCTCATCCCAGGGAAAAGATACCTGCCATTCGCCTTATCTATACTTTATGATTTTATAAACCTCAATAAGGTCACCCCTCAACCTCCTACGCTCCAGTGTAAAATGTCCCAGCCACCCAGACTCTCCCCATAACTCAAACCCTCCATTCCCAGTAACATCCTGGTAAATCCCTTCTGTACCCTCTCCAGCTGAATAATATCCTTCCTGTAGCAGGATGACCAGAACTGCACATAGTTTTCTAGAAGAGGCCTCACCAACGTCCTGTACAACCTCAAACTGACATCCCAACTCCTGTACTCAAAGGTATTAGTGACGAAGGCAAGGGTGCTAAATGACTTCTTAATCATCCTATCTACATATGACGCAAACTTTAAAGAATTATGTACCTGAACCCTAAAACTCTGTTCTACAGCATGTGCCAAGGTCCTACTTTTAATTATATAAGTCCTGCCCTTGTTTGTTTTACCAAAATACAATACCTCACATTTATCTAAATTAAACTCCATTTGCCACTCTTCAGCCCATTGATCCAACTGATCAAGATCTCTTTGTAATCTTGGATAACCTTCTTCACTGTCCACTATACCACCAATCTTGGTGTCATCTGCAGACTTACTGACCATGCCTTTCATATTCTCATCCAAACCATTTATATAAATGACAAACAAAAGTGGACCCAGTACCGATCCCTGTGGAAAGCTGCTGGTCACAGGGCTCCAGACCGAAAAACCCTCCATCACCCTCATATTCTCTCTTTGCCTTCCTGATCTCCCTGTTAAGAATGCCCCTACACTCTTTATACTGTTCAAGATATTCATTTGAACCCAGCTGTCTATATCTAATATATGGTTCTTTTTCACTCTTGACTAGAACCTCAATATCTTTATTCATCCATTATTCTCTAATCCCATCAGCCTTACCTTTCACTCTAACAGGAACATAACAACTTTTGTGAAATTCAGTTTGTTTCGTTATCACCAATGCTTTTTCAGTGAAAAAAGCTTATTTGCACGAGTGTTTTGCAGGAGGAAATGAAAGCCTCGGAGATGTGGGATAAATCTAGCTGTGTCAGAAGCGTTCTGCAGGTTCTGTCTTCATATGTAGCACTCTTGCCCATCAGCCAGAAGGTCTGGGTTCAAGTCCCATTCCAGGATTTGCTGGTAACGTAAAGATCATTCCTGGCATGGCTCAACAGATTGATGATCAGTCTACTAATCTTTCCAACACTTTCCCACTATGCCCCAAGGGGAGAAAACTTCATGTTGAAAGAAAGAAACAAACAAGACATTCTATTCTCACTCCCTTACAACTGCATCTACAGAAGGAGATACAGATACTTCAGAAGAGAATCAGTTCTTCTGGTGTGTCCTGCTCTCAAGTTAGCTTGATAGCTCGAAAGCTCCTTCTTGTTCAAGGGTAATAATAGAGAGGCAGAAATCTTCCAGGAATATGCAATGATTCACAGCTTGTCATTTATCACTTCCTGATCACCAATTTTTACACACTAGTAGTGGATTATGCATTAAACTCTAGACTACTATAACACTTGTCCCACAGCACTTTATTGATGTTTGACAACAATGTCACATGAATAAATGTAAGTAGGTTTACCTTGATTATGTTGAAAAGGCCCACTCTGACCTTGTTTACAGCTGCAATTAAATTTAAAACAAAGATAACAGGTGATATTTATTGAACTGCTTGTAAGCCCACTGCTTTTCAAGAAACTCCTTAACTTCAGTCATTGAAAACTAAATAAGGTCTCTAGTTAGAATATGAAACTCAATGTAAAAGATAAAATGGAATTGACCTTTTAGATTAATATTGATCAAGGATGAATCTGGCTTTCATCTTTTGTTATACCCATTTCATCTTTCATTTGAACAAGATAAGCAGGAGGCAATATTGCCTTTTAACAGTACTGAAACAGCACAGATTTGCCTTGCTTCTTTGAACAAAATGTAGAACTGTGTTTGTGTATCATTCTTCTTATTTTGATTTTCAAAGAAACAAGAATACAAATAATTGTCTGAAAAAAATGGACAAGAAGATTCAATATGACTGTTTAAGAAATCTTACCTTTCATCCTCTTGGCTTATACCTGTTGATTGATTTTTTAAAAGAATAGACACAATTATTAGACAACCAAGTTAGCAAAATATTTGAAATAACAATGAGCAACAACTATAACAGTACAAAAAAGCACCCACCTTCATTATTCTTGGAGCACAGCTTACGAAATCGAGCTATTAATATTGCCAGTCCTATTATCACTAGTGAAAATAAGACTATTGTTATGTATATCCACCATTGAGTACCTAGAGTTAAAGAAACATGTTTTATTTCACAAGCTTCTCATAATTTTTATTCAGCTACTTGTTATATTAATAATACATCGGTGTTTACAGGAAGACATATGAATATATGAACAAAATATTGTCTTGTGGCTTGTTTCTCTGTAACAGCCTAAAATTTCGAGGCGTATGTTTTATACAATTTAATATTACCTATCTATTGTACCGAATGCTAACTTAATCTTTTATCAACAAAATGCTGTATATTAGGCCATTTGTTCAGAGACAAAATACTTGGAGCAACTAAATGGTACATTTATAAGTAGGACCATCATGGCTAAACAAATAGTCCAACTGGTAGCTTCTGTGAGGACTAGCACAAGTATTGTTCGAAACAGTTGAAGTCTCAACAAACATTCATCTCATCAATTTTTACCTTAGTGATCCATTATTTATTGATATGCAAAGCTAGGCACCAGCTCTCTGGATTGTAAGACCATAAGATGTAGGAGCAGAAGTAAGCCATTCAGCCCCTTTGAGTCTGTTCTGCCAATCAATGGCTGATCTAAATTCAACTTTCATGCCTTTTCCCTATAACATTAGATTTACTTACTGATTAAAACTGTCTACCTTGACCTTGCATATACTTAATAACTCAGCTTTGACAGCCATCATCAGTAGAATTCCACAGATTCACTACCCTTTGAGGAAAAAAAATCCTCCTCTCTGTGTGACCACTTACTCTGAAATTATGTCTTCTGGTCCTATACTCTCCTACAAGGGGAACAATCTTTCTGCATCTACCGTGCCAAGTCCCCTAAAAATCATGTATGTTTCAGTAAAGTCGCCTCGCATTCTTATAAATTCCTGGTTTACATTCACCAACACAGCTCTAAGTACATTCTCATTCTCCAGAATGCCTCTAATTAAATTTACTCATTCAAAAATTCTCCTTCCTGTCTCTAATTACATCCACTCCCAGCCTTTCTGGCTCTGCCTTCTCAGCTCTCTCTGCCATTTTACCTGACACTCTCAGGCACAGCTGTAATACTGTAAAAATAGAGGAGAACATAAAGCTGAGTGGTAAAAAGCAAAAAAAAATGACCAAGGAAGAAAGGGAAAACAAAAAAGACAGAATGGTACAGATAAATTAAAGGTAAAGGGAGAGAAAATTCTGCAGCAGGAGTGAGATCATTGTGAGAATGGGAAAGAACAAACAAAACCAGATCAAAATAAAGAACTGCAGATGCTGAAGATCTGAAACAAAACAAAACAGCAATTGCTGGAGAAGCTCGGCACATCTGGCAGCATCTGGACAGAAAGCAGAGTAAAACAAAACAGAGTAGAGAACACCCTTCTTCAGGGTCACTGGACTTGAAACATTAACTGTTTCTTCTTTTCACTGTTGCTGCCAGAGCTGCTAAGTTTCTCCAGTAATTTCTGTTTTTTGTTGTTTCAGATCTCCAGCACCTGCAGTTCTTTGTTTTATTTTAATGCCTCTGAGTCACTGGGTTGTGGGTTTGAGTCACATGCCAGACACTTGAGCACAAAATCTCAACAGACACTGAGGGTGTGCTGTAGTTCTTGAGGTGCCAGGTTCTGGACAATATGTTAAGCCAAGTCTTTGTAACCTTTGTCAAGTACTATTTTGAGAAAGAGATCTGAGAATTCTACCTGGAGTCCTGACCAGTATTTATTTCTCAATCAATAAGATTAAAAATGATTAACTGGTCACTATTGCATTCCTGGTAATAGGACTTAGCTATTTGTAAATTGGGCACAGTATTGCCTAAATTAAAATAGTTTGCTGAAAGTGATAGTCTAAAGTCTTGGATGAAGAATGGCTACTTGTGGGAAATGGTAAAGAGCCACCAAGACCCACTGGGCCACAAATTTAACTGTGTCATCATGGTGGGCAAAGAATTACTTAAGTAATCTAAATATTATTGTTTCTCTATGAATTAGAAAGGCTGTAATTAGAAAGTGAATAAATATTATAGATATTTGACTGATAAAACCTCAATGATCCCTGTAACTCAGAACAAAGGTGAAGTTACATTAGGCATGTACGTACATAAAATATGAAATGATAATCCATTACTGCGTTCTGAAGAAATTTGATTTTCAGCTTTACAGCTGTATACTCCAGAATGCTCCATTGAGTGTACTGTTATGTTAAAGCCTGCTGGAATTGCCTGCATTGTAGTAGCTGATTGGAGACTTGATTGATTCCGATACAGTGTGTAAGTGATTGGTAGAGTTCCTGCGCTTGTTATGCAGTGCAGTGTCACAGTCTCTCCTAACTGCACCTCGGTAGAATTCAACAGAGGATAAATCAGTGGTTTGGATACAGGAACTGCAATGAAAAGAAGTTATTGATATGGTATACTGTAGATGATGTTTCTCTTAACTAGCAAAATAAATTCAAACAGCATTTATCACATAATCACCGGTTAGCTTGGTATGGGCCAAATGTGCAATATTGTTTGCCAATGGTACAAAACAGGACACTGTTAAGATAAATGCGTTTAAATTGCAATAACTCATAATATGTGATTAAACCAGTTGATGGTCTGATGTTGTTAAAGGAAAGAACATTTTGTAATCTTGCATTTTTCTTGTTGCATTGTTAGCAATAAGCCTGTGGACTTATTTAATTATTTATTCTTCATCTGCTAAAATGTATGCATCTGTTCCTTTAAGACCTGGTTTGTTTATTCTGGTTTGTGCTGCACGCCACACAACTTTGGCCTGCATCAGGAAACGTAGTGAAGGAAATGTTCAAATACAGTGAGACAACAACCGAATGGGATTTAAAGTATGTGACAATTCTGTAAATCAGAACCCAGTTCTGACTGCATTAGCTATTCAAGCACGCTGTTAAACAGCAGAGTTTCCTTTACCCTTGCAGTGTGTACTAACTCTTCCTACAGCTATCAACAATGCCTTCATCCACAGTCCTTAAATACCAAGTGAATCCAAAATCATTTTTCAGTTTATGAAATTTGCTCAAACTTTTAGAACAATCTGCATGCAGGACCTAACATAAGCAGAATCTGATCTTTAAGCATGTTATGTGTGCCAGTGCCATGGCGTATAGTACTTTGTATTTATCTTTTTGGTGCAGTGTCTGGTTCCTCTCTTGTTAAATCTAATCTGATGCTTCCACAGGACGGTGTTTAAAAAGCAGTGGTTCTCAAATCAGTCACTGATTCTACCTGAAGCTTGGGATTTGAGTTTATCATTCTGGAAGTGCAGTCCTGAAGTGATCGAACTCAGTTGGAATAGCAGTGGGAGAGGAGTGGATCAGGGCTCAGTGGGACAGGAGTGGATCGGGGCTCAGTGGGAGTAGCAGTGGGAGAGGAGTGGA